CTGACATGCCAACTGATTGCAGAGTGCATTGGCTTTTGAACTGGCAACGTCACGGGACTGCAACTGCTGGCTGGCCATGTGAGTTATGACATGGCCTAAAATGATGCCTGCACATTAACCTTGGAACAGAGGCAGATCTAGACGTGACGCTGTCCTTTATACGTGCGGACCACAATTGCGTTAGCCACGTCTAATGACTCCGCATTGCGAGTACATGAATAACGAGAGTCGAGCAAGGGGAAGGAGAGCAAGCCAACTTTTTGCTACCTGCTGTGGACAATAAAGCCTTGATCATTGCGCCCATTTAGAGACGCAGCGTGTGGCCTCCCTCTCCCTCCAGCACCTACTCTCACTCTCTCTCTCTCCCTCTCTCTCTTACTGGCCCTCGTTGCCAGTGTGAATTATGAATTATGATTGCTCCGGACGTGTCAATTGCAAGGCAACTAAAAATTCTCAAGGTCATTTCGGGACAAAAAAATGTCAAACGACACAATTCGAGCCATTGCCGAGTTCTTTATAAATTGCTATTTCAGGCCGCGTGGGCGCAGGCACTTCCACTTTTCGGAAGGCCGCGCCGGCGATGGCAACCCAAATGCCCCGAAATGCCAAAACATTCGAAAACAATCACACACACACACCACACACATACATACGCACGCGAATACATGAAATTAGTCAAACTAATTTGCTCGCCAGAATGGAACAAACATACACACACGCACACACGCATACACACGCACACCCAAACCCACACCCACACACAGAGGAGAGCACGAGAGCCCCGACAAATAAAGCAAATTTACGAATTTATGCTTAAATTTATCGATAATGACTTAAAAGCCTTCAGGACAATGATTTAATGCCAAGCCGCTTGCCGTTGCCATGCGCAAAGCCAACAACAACAACAACTACAACAGCAACAAGAGGCAAGCTTATCGACTCCACCGTCGCCCAAAACCAACAACAACAACAACAAAAATACAACAAACACACAACCATCATCAACAAACATTCAACGCCGTACACAAAGTGGAGTAGGTTTCCAAATCTTAGGCCATGTTTAGATAAAATTGAATTTCGTTTTGAATTTTTCTTCTCTTTTTTCATTATTGGCACGCTGGCATTTTTTTCTTCGCTCGAAATGATCGATGATCGCTGGAAGTGTGCACTGATTTATTTATGATCGACTTTTGTCGTTTTCGCCATGCGATTATTTGTTAGATTTAATCAGTTGCCAAAAGCAATCGATCGGAATCAAAGTACTTTTGTATTGACCGAGCAAGTGAAATAAATCAAGTATTTCGTTGATTGTACTAGTAAGTATATTGATCCTATAAGTGACTACTTGTGAAACAAAATACATCGAAATACGTTCGACTTAAGTCGCAGAGAAGGCCAAAGGGTGAACGAAAAAGTTGGTAGTGTCATGAAGATTTGCGTGCTAAGAAATTCAAATCCTTATTATAAACTTGAGCTGTTAAATGAACAAGATTTCAATTTCAAACATATTCGAACATACGAGTATACGAGCTAAGCAGTTGTCTTGTTCTGCTCCGCAGCTAGATACCCTTCACTTTTCGCCTGAACGATAACTTCATTTAATCATGATCTTGGGCCTCGACCTTATTTATTTTTCCTTAGAAAGCGTTACATTTATCATTTTGGTCACCATTCGTGGCCCGAAAATGATGAAACACCTCCAGATATGGGAACTTGTTACAATATCTTTCCAAATAATATCGTTTTTAAATTGCTTTTCTTAAAGCATATCGTCGACATGACCTGTCTCGGTGCAAGGCTATGGAATGAATATCGATTGAAACAGTCAGATCAAAGGACGGACGGACGGACGGACGGTTTTGTCTGTCAGTCTTCCTTATAGGTGATCGAAACTTACAGACACAGCAATATAGTATATCCTTGCACTCGTCGCCAACAATGGAATGATTTGGCGTATTAATTAGTTTACATTTCTGAAATTACCAGGCAAGTACTATTATGTATGTATGTATGTACGTTTTGTTTCATCATATTGTTTCCAAAAATGTAGAAGTGTAGCTGTCTAATAAAATCGTGATCCATTCAGGAAGGTTCTTTAAGCTATATGCAAAAGAAAGAATCATTGCGCAATCTCTATTTTCAACCACAATTACTAATCATCACATCGAAACGTTTAAATGGTGTCGTGGTTAGAAACTCACCACCCGAAAATTGAAACTCACTTTGCGCGTTACGATACAAAGTTGAATATCGTATTCCCATTGGAACTGATGAGGGTTGCTGGGCCAGGTAAATTACTTTGTCTTAAGATCGTGAGAGAACTCAGGTAATATTATTTTAAGGGCGCGCTTCTCATTGGAAGTTCTCCATTCCCCGCACCTATAAGAAGTTCCGCAGCAGCCAGAGTCAGAGTGTTATACAAAGAATTGTACAATAAGACATTTTGCACAGGGCACAGCTTGTCAACCTCTTCACTGAATAATCGCGACACCCTGTACGGCTTTTCTGGGGCCACACAATTAATCATCGGCACTTCACCTTGCATTCGACTGGCAGCGCATAAATTTCATTACGATCATCTGTGCTATCAGAATCGATTGATTGAGCCACACGTAGTACGCAGCTCGCACTTGCAGCGGTTCCCGAAACGGGCCACGTCGTCTGCCCTTGCGCTAAGCGCAACGCCACGTTGGTAAGTGGTAACAGCACCGGACGGCCGAAAGGCGGCCAGTCTGGCGAACGGGCCGAAAAACCCGTCGTCAGACTTCTTCGTATTTAGTTCAACTTTAATTGTTTTAAGTCAGTGGTCTGAGATATTTTTTATGTTTTTCATTTCAGATAACCCTGCGAATTTTGATTGATTTTGAGACTTCATATTTAGTTTCTGCTCCCTTTAACTTTCCAATATTTTTGAAGATGTGGCAAAAATTCAAACCACTTATTTCCAGAAGATCGGTCAAAATTTGTGGTATCAAACATGAAAGTTTCCATATACTACGTATGTGCTTAGTTCGATAGTGATACAACTATCTTTGGGAGTTTTTTGGACTCTCAAGTTGTGGACCCTCAAGGTGTGCTCGATAAGTTGGCGGTCACGGGCGATTAGAGTGCGATTTGAAATGCAATCTAATAACGAATTGAAGATGTCAGCCGAAAGGCTAAGATTCTTTTGTTTGGCCCATTTGGCAAAGTCGACGGGCTGGTGCTCGCAGCTTGTGGCCGACGGCACCTTCGCCGACCTGAACTACAGTACGTGCTGTACATAATTACATAATGGAGTAGTTAACTATAATAAGCGCGGCTTCTGCTCAACCTTCCGACTCCACATTCTCGGTTATCGGTTCTCGGCCGTATACACCCGCAGCACGTCGCGCTGTGCGGCGCAGTGTGTGTCCTGGAAAGGATTTTTCGTGCTGCTGCTACTTCGCAGCTCTTTTAGCTGCATGCCATAATTTACGTTTTTATTGTCGACTTTGTTTCAAGTTTGCTGCTGCCTTTGCTGTTGTTGGTGCTGTTGCTGTTGTTGCTGTTGTTGGTGTTGCGACGGCAGCTCTTGTTGCACAAATTGCAGCTCACTTTTGTTGTTGATGCCATTTTGTTGGCGCGCTCGTGCTCACAACTTGCTACTCGCTGAGCATCATTAAAAGTAGAGGTGACAAAAATTAGTAAACAAAGTGTTAAAAATTATGAGCCAGAGGTAGTCGTTTGGCAAGGCGCGAAAGTGGAAGATGTGAGGCAAAGGTGCGACTCACAGGAGGTCTACTGCCCGCTGGACTCTTGCTAGGGTAGACGAATTTTATATGTGGGACTGAGCCAGCTGAGTTCTTTAACAAAATATGCAAAATATTCCTGCAATTTATCAAAAGTTTCAAGTACGCAATTAATTCAACGAATTAAAAAAGAACAAACCTAATATTATACCGAATCTACATGAATTTATTATTTTGATGTCATTCTTCTTCGTTTATAGACACGCGATTCAACAGCCTCAGATGTTTTTAAAAGTGGATTTTCGGTTTTGCCATTTTCCGTGAAGGAAGGGCAACCTATGGTAATCGAAATATAAATAAAGTTTAATTTCAGGTGAAAACCGAAACTTTTACTTTTTAAATTATTTCATGGCAGAAGCACCAACCATGCACATCCGGAATACAAGTAGTATAAAGAATCGATTTGTTGTTGCTGCCCGAGGCACCTTTTAAATAATAATTTAAACTAAAATTTAAAATATTTTTTGAACATTTACAAAAATAATTAAAATGTTTAATTCTTTTAAAATGTAACAGATCAGTTTATCTTCTATATAAAAGTTAAATAATTGTGGGTTTTTGAACCATTTTGTGAGACTAATACAAAAATTACATTTCTTATTTTCGAACGTATAGTATATATGTAGTTTTGTAATTTTAATTATATTTTGGTGGGGCGACCAAATGTGTTCAAAATGTGTTCTTAACATTATTATTGATATTTTTTAATTTAAAGCGGACTTATATATTTCGGGCTGACACCTAGATTTGTTTCTTTAAACTTTTTTTAAAACTTCTTGCCTGTATATGTTTAAAATGATTATAACAGGATAGATTGGTGCCGTTTTTAAAATTTAAACTATGTAATTTACGCTTCATTCGCACCCATGTCTGTTTTATATTCAATCGCAGAATGTTAAACGTTCTAGTTGTCGTTGAATGGGCAGGAAGGAGGCCCTAAAAGTTGGCTAACGATGAGCAATGAGTGTCTGCTCTATTTTGCCATGACTAGCTGACAATTAGCAATGTTTAGTCACATTATTGTTATTATTCTTTATTGCCGTTTCTGCTGCTGTAATTGCCAGTCAAGCACTTGGCAAGCGGACCATTAGGCCGTCTATTTATAGCGCCCAGTGCCGGTGACTAAGATGCAAGGCAAATTAATAACAACTATGAAAACAAGAGAAACATGTAAACGAAACCCAGTCATAACCAAAACAAGAACAACAAAAAGAAATCAGCTCTGGCCACTTGTGGCCGGTTCTGCGGTTTCCCGACTGCAATTCGAAACGCGAACGGGGCTGCCGGGCTAGCCTTAATTGGCACCAGGTGGACGCAGCTGGCGCAATGGAACTTATTGAATCAAATTGATTGGAGTTCGGCTCCTGCACTTCACTCACCTGCGATAGCCATCCAAGGGTAGAATGTGTGATTGCTGGCCTGGTGTAAGCTGCTCGCGGCCGCTGTCTGTGCTGCTGCAGCGCCCGAGATGGTGCAGTTTGCATTCCAAGCGGTGGCCGCGCCAGCACCACCTCCAACGCCAGTGGCTCCACTCTGGCCGCCCACACCACCACCTCCACTGCCGTTCCCACCGGCGCTGCCGCCTCGATGGCTTACCGGGCTGCCACCCGAAGTGTCTAAGTAGCCGCCGACGCGAGAGTCTGGAGTGCACGCGGAAGGTCGGACTGGCATTCCTGCCGCGGCGTTATTCTGTCCGTTCGCGGCTCCTGTATTGGCACCGTTCGAGCCGCCTCCTCCGGCGCCACCGCCACCTCCGCCACCGCCGCCTCCACCAGCACCACCGTTTGCGCCTGTGTTCCATATGTCTTTGTAGCCATTAACGCCGTCCGCCTTGATGTTAAGGCAGTCCTGCTTGTAGGCGCTGGCGCCGGCGTCGCCGTAGATCTTGTTGCAGGCCGCCGTGATGCTTGCGTCGTAGGGCGAGTCCTGTGTGGTGCGCTGCAGATGGTGGTTAGCGTATGGAGACATGCCCAGCGAAAGCGGAAAGCCTCTGTATGCGGCCGCTGCCGCGCTGGCAGTCTGGTCGTGGTGGCCGCCCGTTCCCATGGCCATGCCCGTCGCCTGATGCGGGTGGCCGTAGAAGCCCGAAGCCTGTTCGAAGTACGAGTTCATGTTGTTGGCGGTGAGAATCTTGGCGGTTGGGCAGCTACGTCAAGCTGCGTAGCTCCAAGCACTGGTTGCACTTGCTCTTGGTTGCTCTATGGATCTGCTGCAAAATCTAAATCTAAATCTTTCTTTCCGTCTGTCTATCTATCTGGCTGTAGGCTCAGTTGAAGTCGAACTGCATGGCATCAACAATTTACAATTGTTTTATCTATTTATGTATATTTAATTGCACTTTTTCGAAAATGACGGGACCGTGTTTCGTATACTTGGCTTTAAAAATTATAATTGTAATTATTATTTTAATTTGTATTCTGTTTAGTTGCCCAATTGCACTTTTCCACTCAGCCGCGCTTTTACGCCCTGCACACAAATTCGAACCTCAGATTCGATTTTTAATTTATTGCGCACTGTTTAATTTTTCGTTTTGTTTATTAGGCTGTTAAAATTTATGTTTATTGTTATGCTGTGTATTTGTCGCGTTGGCGTTGGCATATTAATTTCAATTTTAATTTTTATGCATAATTTTTTAATTCTATTTCAGCCACTATGAAGAGCTCGTAAACGCAATCATAACAAGGGCCGTTACTGCGTCTATTATTGTTATTATTATTGCCACCGACCGACGAGCGCGCGCTTCATCAAGCGACTGACCGAACTGAATGAGTGACTTATCCGCGTACCATGCAAATATCAGAATCGGATTGAGATACACTGCACTTGCTTGCAGCTACAGCTACAGCTACATCTACGGCTATACAGCTACACAGCTACGAATACGAATACGAATGAGAGTTCGAGTTCACGTTCACTGCCGGGCCATCAACATCAACCGAACAATACTAATAACAATAATGGTGATAATGTGGATAATAAAACAAAGCGCGCGCCTGTTATCCAAGCCGTTGCCATCGAACGAATGTCCGCAAATGTTTTGACTGAGCTGAACGTAGCTCCCAATACACTGGCAGAGCAGAAGCGACAAGAAGAAGAAGAAGCCAAAACAGAGAAACGAAATGAACACTGTTGTGTGTGAGAGCGTACGAGCGAGCGAGAACGGTTGAGCTTGCCAGCCGCTTGAGTCCGACACAGTCGGCCCACTCAGTGATAACGCATGTTTACACTCAACATCAAGCATCAACTCGCGAGCGAATGAGGGAATAAGTAATTGAGCGCGCGTTCATTCGGGGGTGGGTGTTCCAACTGAGAGCTGAGTCATTTGCCGTTTGAGCAGAAAATTCATCATGCGCCTGTGAGGGAAACGGCAACGGCAGCAATGCTGTGTATGTGTGAGTGAGTGTGAGTGTGTGTTCGTGGAAATACATCATGGAGGGGCTGATTTTCTTATAGGCCATTCAGAGGCAAAGCAGCAGCAGTAGCAGCAGAACGCAACTCAGGAAAATGTTCGCTGCGTCACTTTTCACTCATTTTGGCACAGGCAAAGGGCCAACATTGCAAAATACAATTGCACGGATGACTTTTTCACTATTCAGTGGGGCAGTTGCTAAATATTTTTCACATTGCATGTTAAATATATTGTGTACAGGTTATGTGATTAATTTGAGCCCTTTCCAAATTCAATTTTTATTTTTATGCAAACAACATCATTGCAGAAATATGAAATTGTTCATATGTTGTATGTATTTCGAAAAGTTCGTCCACAGTGAAAGCACTTTTGTTTGAAACGCAATAATGCATTAGGCTATGGACTTCAAATTTGTTAAATTATTGTAAAAGTGCGAGTGAAAACATCTTATTTTTAACCCTTAAGTGTTTTAAACACATTTTATTGATTATTACTGAAAATGCCATTCTGACATTACAGACAGTGCATTCTGTGTTCTGCTAAAGAAGTGACTAATGTTGACTATGTTTTGTGCCTTCGAGTTTTTTGCCGAACTCCTGGAGTTTTGTAAGGCAGTGAATGAAATTCATCCAAGGGATCAGTTTTGTACATTCTCTACCTGCAATTAAAGAATCCTTTAGAGTAAGATGTTATGGCAGAGGGGCTGGTGAAAGTACCTTTCAACGATATCTTATAATTAGCTTAAGCCAGAAGTTATTATTCTGTTTTAACTTTTTATCTGTCTGAACTATCGGAAAATAGAAGAGCTACCAAACTTGTTTTTTATATTCTCCTAAGTCCCCGCTATTAGTGTTTTTCATAGTTCCCATATTTGTCAGATTTTTTGTAACTAAATTTGGCAGTCATAATTCACAAGTGCTTATTTGTCTCATGTCGAGTTTCGGCCTAATAGGTCAATTGTAAAGTTACAGCCATACATGCAATCTCTGGTAGCTGCTGTTGTTGTTCTTGTTGTTGTTCTGCCCGCACAAGCCCGATAATAACTTATGAAATTAAACAAAACAAGAAAGAGTGCTACAGTCGAGCAAGCCCGACAGTGAAGTACCCTATACCCAAACAAACGTCCGTCGCATAAGCAAGAAGAAGAAGAAGGGCCAACCTGCAGTTTTCAAAGAAACTCGTGTTAAAGGCTCAACCGTTTTCGACATCCAGGCGTGCATCCAGATAGACAGATCTTGTCTTGATCAATTCTCTCGTCATGCTGATTATGACTGAATATATACTTTATGGGGTCAAAGAAGTTTCCTTTCCCTTCTTACGTAAATATTTTGAATAAAATATACAAACTCATGGGTTTACGCAGAGGGTGCAGGGGAGGCCCCTAAAACTTTATTAAACAAATATATGTTGCTATTTGAAGTCGACCACACATTCATTTTTATGGCGCACTATTTCGCCTTAGAAATGTATAAATTTTTATTTTAATGTGTGATGCATTATTTAATGAAAATTTTAATTTTTTGCAAAAAGCTGCATACGACCTTGTACATACTTCGAATGAAAATGGTAAAAGGAAAATTAAAATTTTACATTTAAGAAGAGGATTATTGGCTAAGCTGGTACTTAACGGAAACTAGTCAGCACTAGAATGCAAGAAGTGAAACATAAAATGTTTTCATTAAATTTACTTCTAGTGCAATAAATGAATTATATTATTATAATACTGGAAAGCGGTCTATTTACAATCGTTTTCAATATTTCTTTTTTTGCGGCTTCAAATTTTTTAACGAGGCTCGTGCACTTCTGCGACATACCTCAGATCCTTATAACATTACTACGTGATCGGGTGTGCTTCGCTACACAGCATTTTAGCGGACACTAAGTACTAAATTGTGGACATTTCAAAATAAAATTCTCATTGTTGGGCAAATCATCCCATTTTCTATTAAATAGTGCTGCCAGTTGATTGCAATTTGTATGCGACTCTACTCCCTATAACTAAAATTCCACGCATTTTCTTGATAATAGAATGAGCCGATTTACCCTATGCCTTCAGTAGTTCACAACATATTAATGAAATAATACGAACATATTTTTGGCAGTAACAGTAGCACGCAGCAGTATGAAGAACCAAGCACCAATTGACATAAAGACATCAAGTCAGGCAAATTGCAGATACATGTGAAATTTGATTTAAAACGGTTCAGCAGTTTAAGAGTGTATCAACAACAAACATTGTGACATGAGATTTGTATATAAATAGATATGTGAAAGTATTGATTTATACAACATTAGCTTGCTGTGTAATAATAGTTTGGCTCTAACTCTTATAAGTGGATGCAAGATGCGGAGTATTTGTTTAACGTACGAAACTAACCCATTTTTAATTTATTTTATTTAATTTTAATTCTATATCTATATTATGAGTAATTAGCTTAATTTTGCATTTGTAATAGTAATCGGATTGAAGGCTGAATGCAGGTTGAAGTTCATAATAAAGTGCACTATAAAACACTATAAACAATAACATATTATCCGGGCCTATGAAAAATGCAAAATTAAACAATCATTTCACTGTCTAGTAAACACTTTACAATGAATTGCAACACTTGAATATTCTGGACTGGCATTGTAATCAACAACAAGCGACCTTAAAACAACACCATATCCAATTCATCAATATTATTAAAACAATCACATTTAAGAGTGAATGATGTAATAATTTGTGCGATTGTCGCTTTTCTTAAAATTTTTCGCAAAAAGGAGTTTCTAATAGCAATACTTTTTTGTGATTAGAATGCCTACTTTATAATGTCTATATGTAACAGTTTTAGTCGATACAGCTAGTCACTAAAAAATACTTCAGATACATAAACATGTGTACACAAGGTGCCGGGATTTTCTTTGCAGTGTTTTTCTCGGTATACAAAGATGAGAAACACTGTAAATTATTATAATAATTATTTAGCAGGAACTTTATTCTGTTATTCATTCTTTTCATTGTAATTATTTGCGTTTCTTTCTTTCGACTGGAAACGAAACATATATCTGATTTGCGGCACCTCAACTTTATCTAAAATAATTTGTTTGAGATCTGCATAGAGTTCTGGCAGACCCATCTATTCAACAACTGCCCTGTCATTGCAAATTTTGCTCAAAACTGATGCTAATAAATTCATATGCACAATGCAAATACATCGCAACGGCGACAGCGCGCTCACTATTCGCAGCCATTCGGAAAAGTTTCGCAAATATTTGTCAAAGTTTCCACATTCACACAAACTGCTCGTAGATTAAGCCGAACGACGAACAAACAAAGTTGCTTGCCACAAGTGTTTGCAAAATAAACTTATTATAAGGAGAAATTTACTTTGCGTCAGCGCCAGCGCCAGCCCCTTCCCCCAGTCGCCAGGCACCGGCCGCATTCTGTGCCAAGTCTGTAAAATCAACAACAAGCGAAAGATACAAAAACTTGGGCAGCGCACGGATACGAAATGCGACACACACACATACACACGTACACAATCAAATCGCAGCCCCGGCGACATTTTCCAAATATGCGACAACGACGGCGACCAACAGCTAAGGATCCAGTAGCTGATACAACAACAACAACAACAACAACAGCAGCAGAAACAACAGCAGCAGCCACAGTCAAACGGAAAGCAGAGCAAAAAGTAAACCAAACGAAACGTAAAAGGCAACACGAAAGTAAAATCGCATTCGCAACTGAGGCTGACTGCGACTGCAAACTAAATATGGGAACCAAGCGACAGGCAGAGCGACGACGACGACGACGACGACGGCGACGGCGACGGCGACAGAAACAGCGACAGACAAAATAGCCTCATAACCATTTAAAGCCATTCGAAAGCGCATAAAAGGATCACAACAATCGCCGAAATGAGCCATAATGAGCTCGTAAAAATTTTGCTACCTAATATACTCGGGAATCTTACGAGTATATTCAAACTTCGTTCGTTATGGGGCCGCATATTGTTGCTGCTGCTGCTGCTGCTGTAGTTGTTGGAGCTGCTCCTGTGGCTCGAGTATGTTGATGTGGCTGCTGGTGCTCTACTATATAGGATAGCTGTTGTTGTTGGTGCTGCGACCCTTGCTGGTTCTGGCTGGTTTTGATGCCGTGTGGAAGGATCTCGTGACTGGGTAGTTACGTGTTGAGGGCACATCCTTGTGAGGGTTGGGAGTGTCTTGCAATACTTAGTGCAGCACTACTTAGTGCTGATATATCAGCTATCCCATTAGTAACAGCACCTTTAATTCCTATATTTAAATACAACAGTTCAAGGAACATCTCTCCGTTAAGTTATCTATATAAATAGTTCTGAGAATTAACTATTTCCTTCATTGCTTCGCAGACTGATGTTAATTTGAATATCCTGTTCCCGAATTGTAAAAACGGTACAATAGGCTAGTGCAAAGTATGTTACA